GTGAAACAACTGAAAATATGTCTTATATTCTAGGTTCTTCAAAGTAGCCACCTTTTGATTAATGCTTCACACACGCTTGGCATTCTCTTGATGAGCTTCAAGAGGTAGTAGTCACCTGAAATGGTCTTGAAGGAATTCCCAGAGATGCTAAGCACTTCTTGGCCTTTTTGCCTTCACTCTGCCAGATATACATATATATCGTCRTGGTGTCGTTGAGGAAGACACCCAAMCCCCAACTGCTCYCCAGGACACTAGCTGCTCACTGCTCCACTTGGGTGTTTCTCATGTGTGATGGTTCAAATGCAGAGCACAAATCTCATCATTGTATGAGAACATAGAGTGATGGCAAATAAAGTACCTTTACTAGGGATGCACAATATATCGGCATTAATATCGGTATTGGCCGATATGTAAAACTGGGCCGAAATTAACGTCCGATATTGATTTCCCATGTTTTAGCTTTGGGAAGCGAGATGTTTGGTTGAGCGGTATCTGTTTGATCATGATAGTGTTAGTGACGTTTAGTAGCCAGGAATAACTGAAGTAGAGCCATGCCAGGGGTCTAGTCATGTAGTATMAAAAAAGACCCAAGTGTGTTTGTGCGTGTATGTATAATATAATTTGTGTGTTTGTGCAATATCGGTTATTGGCCATAACAGCAATACAGTATACTGTATATGCATATATGTATATATATATATCTTTTTCTTTGCGTGTATGTATAATATAATTTGTGTGTTTGTGCAATATCGGTTATTGGCCATAACAGCAATACAGTATACTGTATATATATATATGTATATATATATATCAAAAGCATTGAAGAAGAGCATAACGGAATGTTCATCTTTTTTTCCTCCCTTTTTACTGACTACACTGCAGGTCATCATGCTTATTTGGAGCTTAAGGGAGTGTAACAGTGGTTTGACATATTTCAGTGAAAGTATTTTATTGAAAGTTAGTATGTATAAGAACTAAATATATTATTTTTTAAGTAAAATCACATCTATAATGTTGAAATAAATCAGTGCATGTTGTCTTGTGCYAGCAGTAAGCACCATAACTGCATTCTCTTTTTCAGCTACATTTACGTCAAACTCATTTTTTTAGACTTTAAAACTAGATTACAAAAATGGTGTTCTGTGAGCCACTGGGTAGATTCTGTTCCTCACAGCAAGAAAGAGTTGTTTCCTAACTTTGGCATGCCTTTGTATGATAATGAATGTCAATGATTAAATGTATGAGGCAGAAATGACCCAGGAACAGTGGCACATATTTATTGTTAGCAAAACTCTTCAGGTAAAAAAATAAAAATAACCATACATTCTGAGGCTCAGAATGGGACAGGAAAAGAGTGAAATCAGACTGATGAAGTAAAAATCACAGATTGTTTCACATGGATTATTTTAAATTAAAAATAGTGTAAATTCAAGCTTTGCAAAAAATGAATTTTGACAATATATACTATACAATTGCTTCTTATGCACTCTTTAAATAGGATAATAACCCTTTATGATCTGTTAGACCATGGTTCGATCACAGCAAATTTGCTAAATCTCTTTTCACAGGAAGCTGTCATGACATCCTTAGTGCTCAAGAAGTTTTTTCCTGCTATTG